GGGGGTTCCACAGAGTAATAACCATTGAGTACATATATCCGTGGTAAAAACTGAAAAGGAATATACCTGAAGCGGTGCATTGTTTCCTGACAGTGTATGTCTTGCAGACATATTATAGACTTGCATAAGGGCAAATTGTGTTATAATACAATTTAAAAATATACATTACCGGAGGCCATTGCTGGCACATTGAACAGTTTGCCAATCTATTTAATATATAAACTAGCTGTGTTTGATTAATTTAATTAGCAACAACGTTGCATAGCATTTGTTAAACATTCGAACGTAGAACAAGCTAGTAAAACCAGTGGTTGTGTACAAGTTGCCTACCATGAAAAATTCTTTTGTGGAATTTTATCATATCACAGACTTTGGAAAACTGCTGATATTATCTGGGCCCCACACACAAGTGGGCATCCTAATTTCTTTGCACAGATTTACAGATGTGCTGTCAGGGTCGTTGACCTGATGATGATTTTCTGGCAAAGTGATATTATCGGGGTTAATTAATACCTGTTGTATGGATATAGCATGAAATATACTGATTATACTGTTCAGTTCCAAGTAAAATGTTAGAGGATAATGATGACATTATCATGCATATACAACATTCAAATATGCCATAATTAACAATTCATTTTATTATTAAAGATTATCATTGAAATTGCAAATCTTTGCTGTTAATTAACTTAACATTCCATGCGTGTTAGCTCATCTTTTCACCTTTTGTGAAATGGTTACACGGCACTCGTGATTACAAGGCTTTAAAGTCTCACATGACTCCTTAGTGACGTAGTCCAATGACGAAATAGAATTTAAAAATTAAACGAGACTTACCTTAAGTCGAAGTTTGATTGTAATTCTATGAGTTATTGGACAAGGAAACTAAGGAGTCACCTACCACTTTTTTCTTGACATGAGCCTATATTTATATATAGTACACGCAAACCCTCCCAAATAATACTTGAAATCACTCGTTGCTTTAAATATTGAACACTCGATCTGCGCGCGCATATCTCACATGACTCCTTAGTTTCCTTGTCCAATAACTCATAGAATTACAATCAAACTTCGACTTAAGGTAAGTCTCGTTTAATTTTTAAATTTCATGCCACCGTAGTAAACTATAGCATTTTCCCCATTCCGATTGGTTTGCTACGTTTGACCGTAGCAAACCAATCAGAATGCCGTATATGCCAATTTTTGCTACGGTCAGATTCGACCTTAATGAATCTGACCGTAGCGAAAATTGATCATATATGGGCAACACGCTTCGGTGGTATTTCTGAAGGATGATATTTTCTAAGCTATAGTCCATTGCGTAATGACCCGCAAACGGGCAATTACAACCGTATTTTCGGGCGGGAATTCTTAAAACAATTAACGTTACGTATTATAAATGTCATCAATTTTTCAAAATAAAATGTTTTAGAACATATAAAACTAAATAAAATAAAACCTTGAAATATAAACAAGGAAAGTAAACAAAATATTGCTAAATTATATTTTAGATTGATTTTATGATCCATGTTAGAACTGGCCTATGGAAAATCTGACCGTAGCATATGCTACAGTTGCAACGGTCTAAATCCGCCCCTGATTATTTATTTATTTTTTTATTGTCAGTCGTCTAAAACGAAGATTTTAACAAAGCAAGTTCAAGCTATTGAATTGAATATTGCCGATGCTTTGAAAGAAAAGCTAAATCTCCAAATAGAAGCTGCTGCTACGTTTAGTGTTCAACATGGTGTCAATGCTGAATCAGAGTTTGCCAAGCACTACAGGAAGAGAGTGGCACCACGCAGAATTGATGATACGCCTGAAAACGCTGTTCATTTTGGGTTGCAAACGTTTTACAGAAAAGAGTTCCTGCAAGTGCTTGACGCCTAAATACTATTGCCTTTAAGATTATAGATCCCGCTGTTTCCTTGCTAAAGCCACCGTATACGAAAGTAAAATTATTTCCAGAGATGTGTTGTCGCTGATTGACTTGTTCCAGCCAATACCAAATCGGACGAAGCTGCACTTGAAGTTGAATTACAAGTTTTTCAGAATTATTGTTTGGCGTCAAAACAAGGCATTGCTACCATTTACGATGCTTTGAATTATTGTTCGAAATTCAACTGTTTCCACTCACATTGCGGTGCTAATTGAAACTTGTTCTCACAGCTCCTGTAACGATGGGCTTCAAGCGAGCGAAGCTTCTCAAAGCTCAAATTAATTAAAACTCTCATCCGTAACTGCTTCGTCCCCAGGCGCTAATAAAAAATTTCATGCGAGTCACTATATGAAAGACTTACATGAAGTTGTGCGTCACATTATAGGTGCGCAAAGGGGAGTGGGATATGAGCGTTTTGATGCCTCAAGTCCATAACTCCCTGCGATTGTTCGTCGTGACGCACTACTTCATGTAAATCTTTCATATACTGACTCGCATGAAATTTTTTATTAGCGCCTGGGGACGAGGTAGTCAGCTAAGGATATTGCAATCTCGTACCCAGAGCAATGGCTGTACGCGGGCTAGGATGCCACAGTGAACTCTAATAAGACTGGAACGATAACTCGGCCGCCATCTTTGAAGCCAAATTGAAGGCCGCCATTGGAGGTTCGGCGGCGAAAATACACCTCTTCGAAAAACTCGGATTTCTGCCTTTCTAGCTATGCTAGAACATAGATAAAAAGCTTAAAAACATCTACGACACTTGGACTATTGCACAAATCATGTTTGGAAGCCGTGGAAAAGACTTAACGTTATTTTTTGTGTACCTGAAAGTCGTATTTTGTTTGGCACGGAAAATATTTTGTTATTTTCTTGAATACAAAAATGGCACCTTTCGAGATTTTGCTGTTAGTGGATGTAGAATACTTAGAACTATCCAGAAAACCAAGTTTGAATATTTGAAATTGAAATCTTCGGACGAAAAACCTAATTTTTCGGCGTATTTTTGCTAAAAAAACAAAATTATGAGGAAATTGAACTCTCCCCAGTTCTTTTTTGAAAGTCACAGCGCGCGAACTTCTCCCGGGCGCCAAATCACAAATCGCACATCACGGGGGATTTCTACGGAAAATCGATTTATTCGCGTTTTAGAGAAGTCAAAAAGCACTCAAAATAAACAACTATACCTAGACGTTAATACAAAAAAGGTATTGGTCCGTAGACTTATGTTTTAAAGTTGGGTTTTTTTTAGTTAAAGAGCAAAGTTCACTTCGGCACGTTCAACTAGTGTCGTTTTTATGAAAACAAACCTGATACCCTTCAAACTTTTGCTGTTGTAGGATGCAAAGCAGTTCTAACTATCAAATAAATCGTATTTGCGTTTTTAAAATTGAAGTCTTTTGATGAAAAACGACTTTTCTTTCGTCGAAAATAAACTTTGACTGAATTTTCCACTCCTCGAAACTCTCCTTAGTCCTTTTAAAAGTGCAATTTCCTTGCACGGTTGGCTTCAGGCAAGTATGGGCATGTTTACCTGAGTTATCGTTCCAGTCTTATTAGAGTTCACTGGGATGCCATTGGCTCTGGGGAAATTGAATTTTTCCTGTGTTGTGATTGGTTTAAACGTTCATCATAGTTTTCCAGTTTAAAAGTTTATTTATTTTAAAACAGTTTTTAATAAATTATTATATTAAGTTCAGTATCTCAAATTCTTGAAAAAACATATAAAAATAATAAGACGTTATATAAACAAACTGATATGCGGTGAATATAGCCAGTATAAATAACAAATTTTATAAACTTTAAACCATAGCTTTTCTGATTCAAGCCCGGCGTATTCAATCATTTCAATGTCAGAAAACTGTATTATTGTACCATGAAATTATATGATTTCCAAACATAAATAATACGCTGGAGTCTGCAGTCTGCACGGCCCCGTGTTTAAGCGGTTGGGCTTTTGAGCATGCTCACAACAACCGGAACCCCAGAATTTAGGGGTTCCGGTTTTCAATTTCCCCAGAGCCAATGCCATCCTAGCCCGCGTACAGGCATTGCTCTGGGTACGAGATTGAGGATATTGTTGTTGTAGTTGTTGTATATATTAAAATAACAAGAATTGAAAAATAACCGCGTTACTATTTATTCTATAAGATCGTAATATTAAAGAGGTTAAGATACCCCGGTTTCGGTGTACGGGTACGAGTAGTGTCATCTTGTTTTACTGATGTCTGCAATTCGATCATACTTTTTCTGTTTTCTTGCAATAGACAATGATATAATGCGAAAAATGTGCGCCTTAATTACGAGTAAAGGTACAGACATCGACGAAAATATTGCTAACCAAAATCATACTACCCGTACACGTACACCGAAACCGGGGTATCTTAACCTCTCTAATATGTAGTTTGCGCGAGCCGCGAAGTCGGTCCCTGGTGAAAAAAGTCGGTCCTATGTGCGCACACCCCCTGAAAAAAAATGCATTTGCGCCCCTGGTTACAAGTTCATTACATTGCATTGCAAGAAGTTACAATGTTATCATCCCTAAAAATAATTTCGAGGTCTGTCAACTCCAATAACTTCTCACTTATATCTTCTTCTGTCAACTCATTCACATTCGGCTTATCAACTAACTTTTCCAGGACATCGCTAAAAAATTGTGAGTTGAATTTCACTGTCATCTTCTTGAACAGTGAGCTGACAAGAAACATCGATGTTACAATCTGCCAACCGCATTCTATGCGAACATCGCATGCATTTCACAATTTTAGTGCGCAAGCCTTGGGAAAGCTTTTTGTTTCAATGATTACAAGTATGATAATTATTGACTTCTACCGACCTGATAGATCGCACAAATAATGTGGTTTCGCTTGGCTCTTCTAACATCTGCAGCGCTACAGATTCTTCTACCTCTTCCATGTCATCATCATCAACAAGAGTAAACACTGAATTTTTAGTTGTGGTGAGTGTCTTGGTCACGTAGTTGAAGTTGACTTTAACATCATCAATAATGTACACTTTGCTACAGGGCCTTTTTTTAAGGATTTTCCCGTGGGGGGGGGCATTTTTTGAAAAGGGACCTTTCTGTAAGATAATATTTTAGAGGGGGATAGCAATGGCTGAAAGCCACGTGTGTGGCAAATATACCACGCATGAATGGGGGGTCTGGGGGTGTACTCCCCCAGAAAATTTTTGAAATTTGACTCCCGGAAATGTCATTTCCTGCATTCTGAGCATCCAAATTTGCTCCAAAATTTATCCTAACTGGCTAACCATACTTGTATTTGAAATAAATAAAGGAAGAAACGCACAAAAAGTAAAAAATATTAACCATCATTTATCGTTACTTATTAGAGGAGGATAGCAATGGTCAGGTGTGTGGGGGTGTACTCCCCCAGAAAATTTTTGAAATTTGAACCACGGAAATGCCATTTCCTGCATTCTGAGCATCCAAATTTGCTCTAAAATCTATGCTAACTATAGTTGTATTTGAAATAAAAGATGGAAAAATGCACAAAATTGAAAGTAAAAAAGAATATTAACTGTAATTTATCATTACTTATTAGAGGGATAATCCCAAGAAAATTTTTGAAATTTGAAACCGTGAAATGCTATTTCCTGCATTCTGAGCATCCAAAAAATAAAAAAAATATTAACAATAATTTATCATTACTTAGTGGTAAAAGAAGTAACACTTTAAATCGATTTTGTTAAACAAGAACAAAGGATAAAGCCTAAAACTTACTTTCCGTTTATCTATTTGTTAATCTTCGCTGGATTGTTTATATAATTTTAGGAAAAAGGGACTTTTCCTGGGGGAGCAAAATGTGATTTCGTGGGGGGGGGGGCACAAGGGGGACTAGGGGGGCAAATGCCCCCCCCCCCAGCTTGTATGTTAAAAAAGGCCCTGCTTTGCTATCTTGTATGGCATCAACCTCGCTCTCCCAAATAGTCAGAAACATAGTGCTTGTGCCATCAGTAATCGTGTTTTAGAACATTCGAAGACCTCTAGCTGTTTCCAACGGACTCCACTTTGCTTCCTTTCTTTATCTTCCCCTTTACGCGAATCTTCTCGCCAGCTTCGATCTTTTCTTTTACTTCTTTCAGTGGTACGAGCCTGGATTCATCATCAGGAATATACTGGAAATTGTACTGCGAGGTGGTAGGTGCGCTAACAACAGTCATGTCTTTAATGCGGGAATGTTGCGAGAGTTAAGAAAAGCGAGCGAAATCGCGAGCCGAAGGCGAGTGATTTTGCCCGCTTTTCTTAACTCGAGCAACATTCCCAAGTGTTTGGATCAGTCCAAACACGGAAACCATAAAGTAATTGTTTTATAAAATAACAACAACACGGTAGTCTTCCGTGTTTGGATGGCCTGATCCAAACACGGCTTTCGACCAATCAGAATACGCGTTATATACATGTTATTTTATAAACACTGGTCACATGACTCCAAAAATATTGGACATTTGTAACCTGGCCTTTATTTAGGTCATGTTATTATTATTATTATTTTACTATTTAATCATATTTGGAAACGGTAGCTCTTCAGGGCACTTACGCACCTGTTTTTCAAGAGGCCGTTTGGTTAAAAATATTACATAATATAAATATACAGTACAATACAGATAAGTAGAACTACAGGCATGCATATATAGCAATATAAGACGA